TAAAAAGCTTTTTTATTTTTGCCTTTTATTAAAACTTTTTATTCCCAACACTGTCACATGAGCCATCCTGCTTGTTTTATGCCACCTGAGGTAGCTGAGCTATCAAGGGTATAATGCTTATTTCTGAGAGCTTATAAGACCAGGCTCAAAAAGAGAAAAAGCATTAGACATGGAGAGTGACATGGGCACACATGGACATGGACGGGGACAGGCCCATCCCTAGGGACAAGGGGAGACACAGGCATGGATGGAGACATGGGGGACAGTGACAGGGATGGAAACATGGTGGGGAGACAGCCATGGGTGAGGACATGGTGGGACATGGGCAGTGACAAGTGGGGACATGACCATGGCCGGTGCCATGGGAGGAACTTGCAGGGGATGAGGGGGATGCTGGGTTTGAAGAAATTGAGGGTTCCTGGGCAGGACTTGGACCTTGCTGAGGCCTTTGGGGAGCCCAGGCCGAGCGGCTCCAGCTGCGCTGGGAGACTCTGGTGGAGGTTCTGGGGCAGCTGCTCAAGGACCCCTGACCTGGAGCCCCAGCTGGGCATTGGGCTCCTGGAAGGGGATGAACGTCCTTGTCCCTAGGAGGGAAATCCCGACACCCCCAGGGTGTTGGGGACAGCTGAGGGGCCACAACAGGGAGGGGAAAGCCCGACAGAGCTGTTCTCCTCCTAAGCTACATCCTAGAAGTCCCAAAACTCAGGGATTCCTCCCAGGAAAAAGCTGCCAGGAGCTGCCTGAATTGAGGGAAAGGGGGGATGTGATCCCCAAACTGAACAGGAGGGGCCTGGATCCCCAAATCCAAGCCCAGGGGTGAGAGGTAGAGCTGGAGGCACAATGGGGAAGGGGTGGGAGAGCAGGGGAAAAGAGGATTCTGAGCAGGAGAGGATTGGGACCCTCAGATTGAGTTGGGAGGGGTCTTTGGGTTGGGGGAACAATGGGAGTGGGGAGGCAAGGGTGGGGATGGGATCAAAAATGGGTGCTTCCATGGGGATCCCTTAGTGTCCCCATCACTTGATCCCTGGAGTGATTTCTGTGAGGCTCTGGGAGCGGGGAATGGATCTGCACTGGGTGGGTCCCCAAGCCCCCTGCCCATACCTGGGGGGCTCATGGGAGGTTCCCTCTACCCAAACGCTGGTGCTGCAGCCATGGGGGAGAGGTGGGTAGGAAAGGGGGATCTGGGGTGGTCAGGGAGAGGAGCAATAGGAAGAGGAGAGAGAGATGAGGAGGAGGTTAGGGAAATAAAGGAGCAGGAACCGGAGGAGGAACCGCAGCAGATCCACACGATTTGCCTGCTCATCTGCTGAGTCTGCAGCTCCCCTGGTCATGGCAGCACTGACTGCCCCAGATCCTGCAGGTAAGTGGGGAGGGGGAGCTTGCCCCAAATCCATTGGGGGATTTCTGGGAGTTTTTTTTGCAGGGAAAGGGATATTTGGATCTTGCATTGCCCCAAAGGTGAGACGCAGATGCCCCTTTGGAGACTTGTGAAGGGTTCCTGTAGCGATCTCTGTACTGGCTGGGGCAGTGGTAACAGTTTGGGGGGGACATTGGTTTTGGGGTTCCAATTGGCATCGGAGTGGGGAGAGCAGCAATGGCCAATCCTGGAGCTGGGGGATCCCAGCAGCCTGGAGGAGTGGGGGACTCTGGAGATGAGCAGAGTCTGGGCCCATCCAACTGTGAACAGGGTGGTGACTTCTCAAGCTGGACTTGGGCAGCAGGACCAAGGTGCCCACCCTTTGTTTTTCCCCCAAGCCAGGATTTGTCCATCCCAACCTTTGTGCAGGTGGAGCTGGTGAAGGCTGTGAGGAAAAGGAAGATAGCATGGAACACTGAGGCAGGTGAGGAGGAACTCACTGCCCCTTTCCCCCTCTGCTCCACCTATCAGCCCAACATTGCCCCTGGCTGCAAGGACAGCGCTGCTGCCAACGCTGTCCTGCCAGGGATGAATTGGTGGGATCTCCTTCTCCTTCCCTCTGGCATGGAGGCAAATCCCGTCCTCTCCTTGTCCACCCTCCTTCCTCTTCTCATTCTATCCTTCTTCCTTCCACATTCCTTCCTCTTCTTTTCTTTCCTTACCCCAGGCACTGAGCTGCAGACAGAGACCTGGGAGGACAAATCGCTGCTGCAGAACCTCTGTTTTGAGCAGCTCCACAGCATGGGAACCCAATAGGGAGGAAAAGCCCTGGGGATCCCACACAAGGAGGGGCTGCAAACCCAGCCCTGGGAGTTGTGAGGAGGTAAGAGCCCCTCTGCGCCTAGAAGTCAGCCAAAGATCCATTTGGCACTCAGAGATGGTGGAGACGATTCATGGCGGGCAGAAGCCCCACAAGTGCTTGGAATGTGGGAAGGGCTTCAGCTGGAGCTCCAGAGATCAGACCTGATCTGGCACCAGGTGATCCAGATGGGGAATCAATCAGTCCTACATATGTGGGGAGTGTGGGAAGGGCTTTGGGTGGATCTCCAAGTTCATCAATCATCACAAGATTCACACTAGGGAGAGGCCCTATGAGTGTCCCAAGTGTAGGAAGTGGTTTCTGAGAAGCTCCAATCTCATCGTAATGAGCCGAGGGGTCAGCTGGAAAAGTATTTAGGATAATTGAAAACTGTGGATGAGTCAAGGGGACAGCTGGGAATATAACTGAGATAGTAGAAGATTACATATTTTAGTTAAGATTTTAAAATTAGTTAAGAAGCCAAGTT